AGTGAGGCCCCTCCCTGGCAGCACCGAGCAGTGAGAGCTGAGTGAAGGGGGAGGCAGGACCAGGGGGAGAAGGCTCCATGACTGTGTCAGAGGGAGGCTCTGCCCTGGCCAGTGGGGAATCGTTGCCTCTCCGAGGGGCCCAGGCCTGGTGCGTCATTTCCCCAGATTACTGAGTGGGGGCTGGAGCCAGTTCTGTGTTGTCTCCTTCAACAACCAAACTGAACCAATGGATCTTGTGCCGTGTGTGCCACAGAGCTTCCTGCAGGGCTGCCCACATGGGAGAGGGGAGGGGCAGTTTGAGTCACCCAGCTCTGCCCCTTCTGAAGGGCTTGTGAAAATGACAGGTGCTGCCTTGGCAGTGAGGGAGAGGTGGGAAAGGGGCCCTGAGTGAACCTCTTGGGTCACAGCTGCTGTAACAATGAGGTAAGATGAATGAGTGGACAGTTGTCATGTGAAAACTGAGGCTGGTTTCCCTGACTGGGAATTGAACACAGGCCACAGTAGTGAAAGTGCTGAATCCTAGCCACTAGACCATCAGGGACACATAAACAGGGGTCTTCCCTTACCTACACTAGCCTTTCACAGGCCACTTTCTGTCCCCTTTGGTATGTGGGTTCAGTCTCTATTACCCAGAGGGGACAAGAACAGAAACCAAACAGAACATCATAACAGCAAGACTGGGCCATGCCAGTTGCCCAACTAGCCCAGGACCCTGTCTCACAACAGCAGACAATTTCATTGCCCAGTGGGAATCCTCGGGACAGACAATTGTTAAGTGATCCCTCCTGGTGCCCATTCCTAGCTTCTAGAATACACAAGCTAGGGACACCTGCCCTGTCCATCCTGGTTAAATGCCATTGGTTGACCTTTCCTGCATTAAATTATCCAGTTCTGTTTTGGACCTTCTTGTAGATTTCACCTTCACAACATCCTCTGGCAAGGAGTTCCACTGGGCACAAAAATGCTTCTTTTTAATTTATTTTTAATTTGGCTACTTACCAGTTTCATTCTGTCACCCATGATCTTGAGTTGGAGAAAAAAAATTCTTATTGCTTTCTGCACCCGTGTCAGTATTATATGAAACTCTGTCCCATCGCCCCTGAGTCTAGACTACATCTAGACTGTGCTCTCCCCAACATCCCCTCCCGCAGAAGAAATGCAAATCTGTGGATCCTTTTTGAGGAAGAGATTTTTCCAATATTTGGCCCCGTGTAGCCCACCTGTGGTGGGTGGGGCAGGGAAACTGCTCACAACCGGGGGAATTAGCTCCGGGGGCAGAGCCCTCACTTAGCATGTGAGAGGCAGTGGGATCAATAACCACATTCCTCTTGCTTTCTGCACCCCTGTCATTATTACATGAAACTCTGTCCCATCACCTCTGAGTCTAGACTACATCTAGACTGTGCTCCCCCCAGCATCCCCTCCCTCAGAAGAAACGCACCTAGTGGGGCACGGAGCTGCTGGGCCTGGTGGAGTGTTGGGAGAGGGGCTAGTGCTCCCTTTGCGCATGAGAGGTAGCAGGATTCACTCCCATCTTCTCCTGCCCGCTCGCTGGTGCTGAGGGGCCGGCCCCTTTCCTGCTGCCCCAACTCTTATTCCCAGGCCCCTTTCCTGCCGCCCCAACTCTTATTCCCACAATGCACTTTGTGCAGGGCCCGTTGGTCTTTGTGCCAAAGTGCGTGGCTGGGAGCCAGGACTCAGGACCCTTCCCCAAATATACAACCCCCCTCCCCACCCTCTGTTCAGCTCACACTGTCTGGCTGCCTCCAGCATGGGCTGAGCAGGTGACCTGCCCTACAGCTGGGAGAGCATCAGGCACCTGACCACAAGTCTGATGAGTCTGGGGACCAAGCTCCATTGGGCCTCACACACCCAGCACAGGAGTAAAACTGCCCCTGGGGAACCTCAGGACAAGGAATGTAAAACCCACAGAGCACAAGGCACTGACAGCCACCAGCCCAGCCCCAGCCGGTCCCACAGAGACTTGAACTCACATTGCAAGATTCAGAGTCTTGAGTGCTGCCCCTTACACCATGGGACCTACATATACAGTTTCTTGGGGGGGGGGAGCTTTACCATTCAGGTCTCAGACTGGCTTCTGCTCTCCTGGCTTCCACCAACAGCTTCATCTCTCAGGACTCTCTGGCTACGTCTACATGGCACATTGATTTTGGAATGAGCTGTTCTTGAATAGTGATTCCAAAATAGCTTATTTTGAACTAGCACGTCTACACTGCAGGGAAACCTCAGAATAGTCCGAGGCAGGCTCCCCTAATGCAGACGAGCTACCGATTTAGAGCCCTGGGAGAAATAACTTAGAATGGGCCTAGGGAGGGGCCATTTTGAAGTAGCGGAAGTGGCGCATCTCCACACGCATTATTCTGAAATAGCTAATTGGGTACAGGCGTTATTCCTCGTAGAGTGAGGTTTGCAGAAGTTGGAATTTAGCTGTCTGATATTTCAGAATTTTTCACATTAATGGAATTGCTGCACAGACTTTGGCATTGTTATTCTAAATGGCCATTATTCCAAATTAACTTTTCTGTGTAGACATAACCTCTGTCCTGACCCAGCTCTGCTGCGTTCAAGACAAATTTCTCGTTATGGTCCATCACAGTCTGGGGTCAGTGGGGGGTCCGTCCCACCTGAGATGTGTCACACAAAAGCCTCGTGTTCCCTGTCCAGTGCCTAACAGGGGCTGCAGGCATTTGTTTTGCATGGGGGTGTAGCTCAGTGGCAGAGTGTTTGACTGCAGATCAAGTGGTCCTTGGTTCAAACCCGAGTGCCCCCTTGGGAAATCTCCTTTCAATAGAAACAATTACTTCTCCAGTTCTATTGCATCCTGGATTTCTGTTGTATGTGCATGCTTTAAAAGAATACAAACTATTAATGTTTTCTGGCACCAATACACATAAACCAGGCAAACCCTTCCCACAGCTGGAACCAGCTCAAACCTAGTGTGCGTCTGGTTTCTGTTTCCATCCATTCAACAAGGATGTGATCTAGATGCCCATGGGCAGGTCCGTGGTCTCCATGGGCTGGGCTGTGCAGA